AATGAGCTCATGACTACTCCATCAAAAAAGCCCCTCTTTGACAGTGTCTTGGCTTTTGGCCTCTGGGTGTTGCATGTGGAATAATTACTGAATCATTCTGTTCTGGTGCCCACATTGTTGATGTCCTCTTGACTCAGAAGAGTTGTGGTGCTGTAATTCCTTCTTCCTTCCCAAGGCTCTTGGATGCTGCGTAAGCCTCCCAAATCCTGTGGCACCTAAAGGGGGAGGTATTTCTCTTCCTGTTGGACTTCTATGGGGAGGCCAATTCTCTGAGACTGCGACCCTATGAGGGGAAGGGGTCCAGTTAGCAATGCCATCCCTCTGTAGTAATGAGAAACCTCACTTCACTCTGAAGCCACAGAAATGTGCTCTTGGCTTTGTTGGATGGAGTCTGTTTTGGAAATTCCATGGTCAGAACCAGCAGAGCTGTGGCAGGAGGCTGTGTGGTGCGGCATGTTCAGGATCGAGTGTCCTGTCTTTTCAAGTCCGCCAGGCTCCCTCTAAAGCCAGTGGTTTGCTGAGAGACCTTGTGTGGGTTTCATTTAAATGGTGCCCTTGAATGTGGCTTGTATTTGCATTTCATTCCAATATCTATTACAAAGCCTTCCTACTAGGGAACCTCCCAGTAAAGGGGGCAAAATTAAAAGGCTGGAAAGCCAGCTCCTTCATGCACTTTGGAGATATAAAACAGAGCAGTGTCTTATTGGGCCAGACCTGAGATTCCAAACCTGTGGGTGCTGGAATCCAGGGACCTCTGGTCTTCACTAGGGGTGGGAACCCATATGCCATATGCCTCCCACCACCAAACGGTGCCTGCCCACTGCACACAGAACATCGTCTCCACCACTCTTTTGCAAATAGATGTAAATGCCTTGGGATTTATTTGTGTTAAAGCACTGGTGAATAATTTGTGAGAGTTTTTAATTAATGGGCTCAAATTATAACTTGAATGATGTGGCAGTCACACAAAATTTTGATGTGAGAAAGGAGTTCTCAGGGGCAAAGAGCCCTTGAACAAGGGCCCTGGTGTTGTGCGAGGCCATGTCCATGTGGACAGACGCTGGCCAGGACTTGAAAATGGAAGGGGTATGCCCACTTGGGCTGATTGCCATGACAAGAGCAAGATGTTGGGATACCTGGCTTCGCTGAAAAGCCAATTGTATTTTATCTGAGGGGGTTACAGAACGGCATCTCGTTAAACCATTTTGTGGGTGTAGCATTTATCTACAGAAGTTTCACTTGGTCGATCCTTTCAGGCAGCAGAGGTAAATGTTAACACCCAATTTCTCTTAGTCCGAGCAACAGACAGGTTAGTAAATATGGATGCAGTGAAGAGAGTTGAGAACCAGGCCTCACAGCAGGGTGTTTTTCTGCTAAAGATCATATTAATATAGTTGTTTCCCCCCCTTCACAGGCAGACGCTAATGGAGTGAATTCCCTGGTATCTCTTCTTAGAAAGATTTCTAAAGCTGAAATCCACCAGAGCGCTGAAGGAGTTAGGAAGTGTGCACCAGGCATGGCAAAGAGCTGACATTTCAGCCCTTCGCTTCTTTCTCCAGAGCTCACTGGGTTTGGGGGAGAGGGAAGTGGTGACATTGGATAGATGGGACAGTGACATCAGTCTCCAGGCACTTGAAGGGAAAGGTCTCGGTGCCCCTGCGGTGAGCCAGAGTTTCAGCCTCCCAGTTAAGTGTAAACCTAAAGCTGCGTTGGCTGAACTGAGAACTCTGCGGAATGACAGTTCTGCTTTAAGGTCTTCTGTGGGGACTGTCTTGCTGCCATAGGAATTTAGCTTCATGGAGCAGGAACTGGTTTCCAGCCCTAGTGAGTAATGTTCCCGTTTCAGATGGAAAAACGTTGATTTGGGCCCTCAACCATCAGCTGTAGGTGGCTGCTATCGTTAACTCTGTCTATAGTTTTGCTTTGGCAACGATGGCCAGTTTACCACAATAACAGGGACATGGCTTTTGTGGCGCTCGACATCTTAAAAATGTGCTGAGGTGTCTCACAAATTGGTAAGCAGTCCAGACCAAATATGCCTTCTGCGTCCAGTATTTCAAGAAAAGGTGTGTGGGGGCTATATATGTGTGTGTTTGCATATGTATACATATAATTTATGTATGTGTATATATGTATACTTTAAATATTATAAATTATATACATTATTTTTATTTATGTATTCTATTGTGACTATGACTTGTTTCAAAGCAGGCTCAGGAAATTTCTAGCTAGACATTTCTTTTAAAAAAAAAATATATATATATATATTGATTTCAGAGAGGAAGGGAGAGGGAGAGAAAGATAGAAACATCAATGATGAGAGAGAATCATTGATTGGCTGCCTCCTGCATGCCCCTACAGGGGATTGAGCCCATAACCAGGCATGTGCCCTTGACCTGAATTGAAGCCGGGACCCTTCAGTCTGCAGGCCGACACTCTATCTACTGAGCCAAACTGGCTAGGGCTAGCTAGACATTTTAAGGCCCTGTCTGCAAAATGACTACAGGCATCTTAGGCACCTGCTTTAGGAAGCGCTGACCGCTATTATTTCAGGCTGTCTTTCATTCCTCAAGAGGACCTTGCCTGGGGCCACATGAGTAACTTTGTCATTTCCCACAGTATCATCCTGCCCAGTCAATGAATGTTCTCTGTGGCAGTAAGGAGCCTCCCGTACGATTTTTATGCTCCATCCATCTGCATTAGAGGTCCTTACTGTCCTCAGCTCCCAGTTCACACCCTGAGCCCCTCTATCTCCTGGCCCCAACCCACTGTGCTGGTCTCCCTTCTGGTCTCTCTGGAGGCAGCCAGGCCTGAGTTCCAGTCAAGATACAAATGCCATCACACTTATTTAAAAGCAAGTGCAGAGCTTGCTTTTAAACACATCTTGTAAATTTAGATTAAGCTCTGTATTTAACTAGCCAGACGTAGCAAATCTTGCCCATGTGATGTGAGCTGGCTACTCATAGGGGGGTCAGGTGCCAGATGCAGCCCAGCTCAGCAGAGCTGCCCCAAGGTCCCTGAGAAGGGGTCTGCAGCAACAAGGTCTTGCTGGACCTGGGGAGCCCATGCTGTTGCTCACCTGCCCATTCATTCGTTGGCTCCTATCACCATTCCAAACAACCTGCAGGACAACTCTATGCCCTTGGTTTAAACAGAATATTTACAAATCTGCTTCGTCCCACACCCTCATCCAGCCAGAGGCCATGGAGTTGGTGCCCCTCGGCATGTGAATGGCCCTGTCTTCCCTTCTTCCCAAGGTGCACCCTCTCCTCTGACTGAATAGCCTTCGTCTGTCAGGAAACCATTTTCACAAATCACTGTCCCTGCAGGTAGTTAGAAGGAACAAATGAGATAATTCTCAGCATAGAGCCCAGCTCACAGTAAGTAGTCTATAAATGTTAGCCACTATTATTAGCTTATTATTCACCTGCCCTAAATATGTACTGTACCTGTAGAAGCCCTTCCATTTCCTGCCCTCCACCTTTCACCTTGCCTAAAAAGGCCTTTCCTCCCGTCTCTGCCTCCAGACCTCAGCAGTTGCTTCAGACTTTGCTCTTGTGCCACCCCTTCCCACGGCTCCCTGCCAGACTGCAAGTGCGCTCACTCTCTTGCTCCCCCTCTCCTGGGCTTTGTGCACCTACCCTGTCCTCCAGCAAGGCTCCTCCGACTTCTTCCACCTTCAGTCCACTGTGGAGCAATACTCTTAGAAGATATAATTAAAAAGAAAAAAGCAATTAAAACATGCAAGTCCCAATTATGTATTATGAGAGGCACCAGACATAAAACTAGACTGTCAAATTTATGTGAAAGGTTTTCAAGGCTTACTTTTGCTTTCTGTCTTGTCCCAGACTGGCAATAACCAGGCTGGGGACCAGCGCTGTTCGCAAGGCATACTCTGAGCAGTACACGTTATGTCATCTCTGCCTCCCCTGGTACAGTTATTCAGGTACATGTTGAATCCAAGCCCTCAAACTCCCACACCTGGCAGGAGCCTTGCACATAGAGCGTACTTGATAAGTTAGTTGAAATGAATGGATGAATAATTGAATGCACAACAAATATTAGTTACATTGAATGAATGAATAAATGATTTAAAACTCATAATCCTCAGGAAGAATTTTCTTAATGAATGGTATGCCAAAGGGATTATAATTTGTTCTTTCCCTTTTATAAAATACACTCATCTGCATTGCATATTATGACTCATCCTTTTTCCTTAGTTTTTAAAAATGTCTATTTCTGATAGAAAAATGGAGACAAGGTTTATGCTTTCACCTGAATATGAGCATACTTGATAATGTCCTGAGCAACAAGACAAGAGGAGACTCTTCAGAGAACCCTGGTACTTTAGTGAGAGCCAAGATTTCTGACGTTAACAACTGCTCAGTAGAGAGCATAAGGAAGAGATTGGATACTTATATGTAAACTAGAGGCCCGGTGCACGATATTCATGCACTGCAGGGGGGTGTGTGTCCCTCAGCCCAGCCTGCACCCTCTCCAATCTGGGACCTCTCGGGGGATGTCTGACTGCCAGTTTAGGCCCTATCCCTGTGGGACATCCCTCTCACAATCCAGGACTGCTTGCTCCCAACTGCTCGCCTGCCTGCCTGCCTGATTGCCCCTAACAACTTCTGCCTACCAGCATGATCACCCCCTAACCACTCCCCTGCAGGCCCGAAGCCCCCAACTGCCCTTCCCTGCTGGTCTAGTTGCCCCTAATTGCCCTCCCCTGCAGGCCTGGTTGGCCCTAACTGCCTTTCCCTGCTGGCCTGATCACCCCTAACTGCCCTCCCCTGCAGGCCATCTTGTGGTGGCCATCTTTTGACCACATGGGGGCAGCATTCTTGTGTCCACATGGGGACGGCCATCTTGTGTGAGGGCATGATGGTCAATTTGCATATTACCTCTTTATTATATAGGATGATCTTGACAAGAATAGTTACAAATCAAGAGCCATATTTGAATTAACAGAGGTAAAAGTTTATTTTATAGTATTGCCTTTAATCACCAAATCAACATTGGGCAAAAAGAAAATCTCCCTCCCAAAGTTTTCTCCTCCTTGAGGAATGTACTCTGGTTATTGTCAGAGACGTGGGAAGGGACCAGTTCCCAGACAGCGGGGTGCTTGCCAATAACCTCTGCTTCCACCTCAACAAAAGAGAAACCCTGCTAGACATCCTCCATAGCCACGTAAAGGAGGTTTTGAGATTTGAGGACAAGCTCTGTACATTCTTTTTAAAAAATCACATGTTACTGTTGTTTCTTACCTTAAACACACATACATGCACACACACACACACACACACACACACACAACAAAACAAAACAAACAAAATACTGCCAAGACCTATAGACAGTTCAGCGTTCTTCATTTTACTCTCTCACTGCCTCTGGTCCACCTCTTCACAGACTTTAAGAGCACAGCAGTCTCTCCTTCCTTCGGGGTCCACACTGCACAGTCATTCAGTCCACAAGAAGGTACAGAGGTCTCCTGTGTGAAGCTGTAGTAGACAAGACAGAAGCAAACAGCTGCACATGAGTGGTTGAAAGTCTATCTCAGAACCAATTACAGGAGTGATGAATCTATGGAAGGGCAGTGCAGGAGTGTGGGCATTGTTGGTGGATGATGACCCAGTCTGAGAATGGGTTGGTTGGAGAAGTGACATTTCAGCTAATACATGAAGGATGGATAAAATTAACCAAGGGAAGTATGCGTGGGGGGTGCTCTAGGATTTATAGATGATTGTGGTCTCTAACCATCAGCTCTACCAACACATAGGATTAGATTATATTACTCACTAATTGCCTCAGGGGCCAGTTTCTTATCTTTCCACTCATAGAATTAAGTAAATATAATAAAAGTCACTACAAGTGTATATTAGTACTTACTATGTGACAAGCACTGTGACTGTGCAACACCCTCTTAGCTGGGTACTGTAATTGTCCCCATTTACAGATGGAGAAACTGAACCACCCAAAATCACATAGCAAGCATTGATGGAATGAAGATGCGATCCATGAGCAGTCTTTCAGAGCTATGATTTTAACAATGATACTATTTTGTGTGTGCTACAGGCAAAAAGCACTATATATAGTGTGTGGGGGGGGTTAAAATTTTATTGTTGTTTCTAATACAGTGTTAAGTAAATCAACCCCAATAAAATTACTAACCACTTAATCAGGTTACAGTTAGTTATCTCATTGCCAAAGGGTATTTATTGAATTGGAAACAAGATGGGCTGGACCAGGGCTTTCTGACTGAACCACATGTTAACAGGGGCAATGATGTAAGTATCAAGAAAATGAAAACACCTGGCTTCAAGTCTCCATTTTCCACTTTGCCTAATACCAGCAAAAACTCCATGGCATTTTTGTGAGAAGTAGCCTCTATTCATCCCTCAAATATTTTGGGGGTGATGTTTTTTTCTTTTTTTTTTTGTTTTTTAAGTGCACGATTTGATGAGTTTAATAAATACAACGACCCAGCAGTGCACTGACCAGAAGCAGAGTATTTCCAGCACCACAGAAAGTTTTGTTGTAGCACTTCCAGGTGAAGTTTTCCTTTCCAGAGGCACCACATTTTTTATATTTTTAAGCATATATGAGTTCTGCCTGTTCTAGATCTTTCTATGAACTGAATCATACAGTACTCTCTCGTGTCTAGCTTTTTTTACTCAACGTCATTTTTGTGAGATCCATCCATGTTTTTTATCTATTCATAGCTCAATTCTTTCCATTGTTAAGTAGTGTTACACTGATTGGTTAACATCAAATAATTATCTGTGCTCCTGGTGGGAAGATTTGGAATATTTCCAGGTTGGGGCTGTCTATATAATAAAAGCCTAATATGCAAATTGTCCCTTTGACTGGGAGTTCAACCGCTCGCTATGATGTGTGCTGACCACCAAAGGGTGGCATGGAATGAAGGAAGGCCTTAGCTCGCAGAGGGCAGCCCCCAGAAGCTAGTGACCCTACCCATGCACGACTTTTGTGCACTGGGCCTCTAGTCCTATCTAATAAAAGAGAAACATGGTAATTAGCATACCACTGCTACCCTTCCCATTGGCTAATCAGGGTGATATGCAAATTAACTGCCAACCAAGATGGTGGCCAGCAGCCAGGCATCTTAAACTGAACACGAGGCTTGCTTGCTTCAGTGATGGAGGACTGTAACATTCCCCACCTGCCTTGCCAGCCTCTGAGCCTGCAGTTTGAAACATCGTAACAAATATAGAAGCTAAACAAAACCCCAGAAACCCCGTTTTCAGCAGCCGGATCTCAGAGCTAGAGTTGATACAAGATTATAGAACCCAAACAAACACGATACCTGCGGCACCCCAATGGGGACCCCCACCCTGATCCAGGACACCCTTCAGGGCAAACCAGCTGGCACCCACCCGTGCACCAAGCCTCTACCCTATATAGTAAAAGGGTAATATGCCTCCCAGCACCAGGATCAGCGGAGCCAAGAGGCCTCCCAGCACTGGGATCAGTGTGACAGTGGGCAGCGCCAAAACCTCCTGATCGCCCTGCAGCTCTGTGTGTGACAGGGGGCGGGGCCACAACCTCCCTATCTGCCCTGCTCTGTTCTGGACAGAGGAAGGTGCCCCAACCCCCTGATTGGCCCTGCTCTGTGCCTGATAGGGGGGAGCTCCCCAACCCCCTGATCGCCCTGTGGCTCTGTGTGTGACAGGGTGCGGCGCCCCAATCCCCCCATCCCATGGGCCCTGCTTTGTGTGTAATGGGGTAGAGCCATAACCTCCCCATCAGCTCTGCCCTGAGTGTGACAGTGGGGGGCTGCACCTAGGAATTAGGCCTGCCCTCTGCCACCTGGGAGCAGGCCTAAGCCAGCAAGGCGTTATCTCCTGAGGGGTCCCAGACTGTGAGAGGGCACAGGCCGGGCTGAAGGACGCCCCCCTCCTCCCCGAGTGTACAAATTTTTGTGCACCGGGCCTCTAGTCCTATATAATAAAAGCCTAATATGCAAATCGACCAAACTGAGGAATGACCAGGTGGAACAACTGGTTGCTATGGTGCACATTGACCACCAGGGGGCAGATGCTCAATGCAGGAGCTTCCCCCAGCCCACAGGCCCCAGGCCAGCCAATGCAGGTTCCAGTGGGGGTCCCCTTATTGTCCCACCAGTCGCCCCACAGATCGGCCCTGATTGCCTGCCAGGCCTAGCACCCTACCTGTGCATGAATTTCATGCACCAGGCCTCTAGTTATAAATAAATGGCTGTGAGCATTCTGAGATATATAATATTTTCATCTTTGTGAGTAATATCTACTAGTAAGAGTGAAATTTCCAGTTGATAGGGTAGGCAAGCATTTAACATTTACTTAATTTATTTTTATTTAACAGCCAAATCTCCAGAATGGTTCCACCATTTTACCATAGCACCAGCTATGTATTTGATTTCATCACTCCTCATCCTTACCAACACTGGGACTTGAACTCAAAGTTTTTTGCTTATTTTTGTTTGCTTTTTTTTTTGTTTTGTTTTAGAACAGGGCTACTCATTGTTCTAAGTACTGAGGATTCAACAGTGAAACAAGTGACAAACCCTGCCCTCATGTTTATGTGTTCATGTTTGGCACAGTGCCTATGGTTATCTGTTAATGTTATGATATGGTGCTGCTGTTTGCTGCTTTTTATAGGAAGTGATTGCACATTCCTAATTTTTCATGAGGCATGTCACATGATGGCAAATTAGGTGATGCAAAGTGATTTTAAGGTTCTTTGGAGGGTTTCATAATGACCACTGTTGAATTAACCATACAACAGTTGGCCTCAGTTTTTTAAGATATCCAAAGTGTTCTCTTTGGGAATTATGCTAGTATTAGAGGCCTGATGCACAAAATTCGTGTAAGGGGTTTGGCCCCCAGCTGCCGGGGCCTCTGACTTGGCACCTGCCACCCGCAGCAGCCACCTCTGCCTTGGCCCCCACTGCTGCAGTTTCATCCAGAAGGTCATCCAGTCTAATTAGTATATTATGCTTTTATTATTATAGATTTTTAAAAATATATTTTTATTAATTTCCAAAGAGGAAGGGAAAGGGGGAGAGAGAGAGAGAAAAACATCAATGATGAGAGAGAATCATTGATCGGCTGCCTCCTGCATGCCCCCAACTGGGGATCGGGCCCACAACCCAGGCATGTGCCCGTGACCAGAATCAAACCCGGGAGCCCTTAGTCCCCGGCTGATGCTCTATACATTAAGCCAAACTGCCTAGGGCTATTATAGATTTTTGATACTGTACATTTCTTGGTACCTTTTGGTGGTAGCAAGGATCTACACCCTCTTTCTGTAAATGGCCAAATAGTAAACATTTTAGGGTTTGTGGGTAACACTGTGCCTGCCACTCTAGCAGGAAAGCAGTCAAAGACAATGTGACAATGAATGGGCGTCGCTGTGTTGTGTTCCCATAAAGCAAAAAAAAAAAAAAAAAAGATGTGTACGAATATCACAAAATAGCATTGACTCACTTCAAACTCAGAATGCACTTGTAGACAGTTTTAAATTTGGTTTTGACACTTGATGGTTTAAATTTCCTGTTTTGCATGACCTTCATTCCTGATTCTAAGACCAATGCAAAGAAGAAATTTCGAGAACCCAGCAAGGGCATCTTACCTGGAACAGAATCCGAGTTAAACGGTCCCAAGGGATTTATGTTTAGTAGGACAGATTTTCAGCAGTGAGGGCTGTGCATTATTGAAATAGATTATGCTGACAGAATTCCCTTCTCTAGATGTTTTAAATTCTAGGAAGGCCCCTCTCTGGCTGCTTGTCAGCACAGTTATTAACCACTCACTATTAAAAAGTCAAACTTTCACCTTCTCTTGTCTGGGGTGGTTGGTTCCTGATCTAGCGGACAGCTGGTAGTGGATGAACTTTGTGGATTGTATGTTCTCTCTGGGAATCTGGTCATCAGCTGTGTAATATTAGCAAACTAGAATGAAGTCTCTACATTGAAGTGAGGGAGAGGAAGCCGATCTGACATAGAGAAGAGGAAGACTTTTCTAATGTTTTTCAAGAAATGAAATTTTATTTAAGAAGCCAAAAGTGCCACAGGGTAATGGGACCATGACCAGCAAACACCTATCCTAGATAAAAGTAAATTTTAATTAACATATCAATAGTGTGCAGATCTTAGGTGTTTCTAAAGTGCTTGAGGGTGTTTGACAACTTTTACTTCCCTTAAGTTCTTTTGCTTTCTCTTTGAAGAGCTATTTTAAAGAAAGAGAACCCCTGTCCTAATCTATTTTGATCTCAAGGATGACTGATTTAATGTAATTTTTCTCACGTTCCTACCAACTTGCCCAAGGTGAGGAATAATTTAGAGGAAAAGAACAAAGAGCTTTCTGGGAAATGGAGAATAGTGGACTTCCTTTAAACATAAGAGAAAGTACTCTCGTTTTGTACATATTGGCAAAGCTGCCACTAATGATTTTTAAATGTCTTCCTTCTTAGATGGTCTTACTTGCATTGGGAGGCCTTT